TTTATAGGGTGTGGGGGCTTGGGTGGGCTCGGGGCAGTCCCGGGGCTCACCCTCAGCCCTTCCCTCGGGCAGACGAAGAAGAGGAGGAACAACGGGCGGGCCAAGAAGGGCCGTGGGCACGTGCAGCCCATCCGCTGCACCAACTGCGCCCGCTGCGTCCCCAAGGACAAGGCCATCAAGAAGTTCGTCATCAGGAACATCGTGGAGGCTGCAGCCGTCAGGGACATCTCGGAGGCCAGTGTGTTCGACTGTGAGTTGGGGGGGCCTCTGCCCCTCCTAAAACCAGCCCACCTTGCTGCCTCTGCCACCCCCAAAACAGCTCATCTTGGTCCCCCTGCCCTCTTTACCTGAGCACACCTTGCCTAGGGCAGGGCTGTCACCCCAAAACCAGCCCACCCCCCCGCTCCATCACCCCAAAACCAGCCCACCCTGCTTCCTCCACACACCCTGCCTGGGGGGGGGGCTCAGGACCGTGCCCTGGGGGGCTCAGGTCCTCACCCCCCCCCTTCCTCCAGCCTACGTGCTGCCCAAGCTGTACGTGAAGCTGCACTACTGCGTGAGCTGCGCCATCCACAGCAAGGTGGTCCGGAACCGCTCCCGGGAGGCCCGCAAGGACCGGACACCCCCTCCCCGCTTCCGCCCCGCCGTGCGTATGGGGGGGTTGGGAGGGCCTGGGGGGGCCTCTGGGTCTGTGCCCCCCCAGGGCCACTCATGCTGATCTCTCTCCACAGGGCGCAGCCCCCCGGCCACCCCCCAAGCCCATGTGAGGAGACTCTGCCCAGATGTGGCCCTGGGATCCCCAAGCTCAGACTCAATAAAGGGTCCTGCTCCGGCTCCTCCCGACTCTGTGTTTTTTGGGGGGGCTCTGGGAATTGGTGGGGGGATGGGAGGCGTTTGGGCCTTCCTGAGAGCATCCCACATCCCTTCTTATGGGGGTGTCATGGGCTAACCCCCTGTGGGGAGGTGGGAGCTGCTCTAAGTCTGGCTCTGTGTTTTTTGGGGGTCTGGGGAATGGAGGGAGGGGGCTTGGGGGCTTCCAGAGGGGCTCCCAGGCCCCATTCTCATAGGGGAACCCTGGGGTCACCCCATTTTGGGGGGGGGAATTGCTGCCCACCCCGTAGACCCTCCCTTAAGGGGGTCTCTGTCCCTTGGTGTTGCCCAGATGTGTTTGGGGACACCCCCCCTGGGGTGGGTGAGGGGGGACAACCCCTGCCTGCATGAGGCACACTGGGGGAGCTGCCCCTGAACTGTGGCCCCAAATGTGGGGAGGGGGGCTTTGGGGGCTCCAAATCCTGCCTAGGGCCTGGATCTGCTCTGAGATGGGGGGGGGGTTGGTTTGACACCCCCACCTGCCCCCCCAGAAGGCCAGGCCCCCCTCCCCGTGTTCTAGGGGTGTCCCGTGGGGGCCAGGCTGTGCCCGGGGTGGTGTGAGTGGAGTTGGAGGCACAGGGGGGGCGGCGGAGGGGTCAGACTTTGCCCCGGGACCGGGGGGTGGGTGGGCACGGGAGCTTCACCTGAGCGGGCGGGGGGCTGGGACGGGGCCGGCCCCGGCTGTGCCCGGCGTGGATTTGGGCGGGCCGAGGGCTCCGGTGCCGCCGCCTCGGGCGGGACGGGCGGGTCCCGGGAGGGGCGGGGAGCGGAGCAGGGCCCCCCCCACGCCCCCGCCCCGCCGCTGCCCCGCCCGTCCCAGCCCGTTCCCGGCCCGGCCCGCCCCGGCGGCCCCGCGCCAGGTGCATTCCCCCCGCCGCGCCCGGGCACGCGCCGCCGGGCCCGCGGAGAGGAGCTGCGATGGACCCGGACCGGCCCCGGGACCGGCCCCGGCACTGGGACCGGCCCCGGGCGCTGCTGCTGCTCCTGGTGCTGCTGCTCCGCGCCCCCGCGCCGGGCTCCGCGCAGGCAGGTGAGCACCGCCACCGGGGAGCCGCGGCGGGATCGGGCACCGGGGGACAACCGGGGGCTGCCAGAGGGCTCTGCGAGTCCCGGGACGGGCGCAGGGACCGGGAGAGTTCGGGGGTCCCGGCGGTCCCGGCGTCCGCGATTCCGCCGGTGCCGGATCCCGACAATTCCCGCGGCCCCTTCTCTCGAGGTGGCGTCCCGGGATCCCTTGTCCCGGGGGGACCCCCATGGCCCCGGGGGGACGTGGACCGCCAAAGCCCCCCCGGGTTGCGGCTCTGGCGGTGCCGGGGCTCGGTTCCCCCTTGCCGGGGGTCGGTCCCGGGCTCGGGGCCCCCCCGGGTAGAGGCACCTGTGCTCCCCGCAGCTGCCCGGGCTAATTTTAGGCTGCGGGGCCGGGACCAGCCGATACCTCCGGGATCCGGCTGGGACAGGGCGGGACCCCCGAGGGGGAAGATCCCTCAAGGAGGGGACCCCGTCCCTGCTCACTTCGGCCCCCCCGCACCCTCCGCACCTCGGAAGTGCCGGATCCGCCCGGGAGTTGTTTTTCAGTCCCCAAAGGATAAACACCGAGGGCTGGACGCGCAGGTGGGGCCGGCGCGTCACCCCCGCAGGCCGGGGGGTGCCCTGGTGGGGGGGGCGTGTGGGGGTCGCACCCGGCCCCTCGGTGTCCCCGATGCTCCATGTGCCACCGGCGACGCCTCGGGGGTGCCACCCACGGGGTCCGGATCACACGGGGGGATCCCACCCGAGAGGGAACAGTGGGGGGCCCGGGAGCACCACGGGGAGTGGGACCTGCGCTGCTCCCCCCAAACCCTCGTCCCCATCCTCTCTCAGAGCCCCCTTTGTTTGGGGCCGGGCCCGGCGCACACAGACCCCTTTGTGCCGCCGCCGGCGGGGCCGAGGGCAGGAGGTCGGGGCTGGGCCCCCCCCGCCCGGGTCCCCCCGGTGCTATTCCTGGCAGCGGGGGCCGGGGGGCCGCAGTGGCACGCGGCTGATAGCGGGGACGTGCCGGAGCTGCCAGAGAGGCACCGCGCTGATAACGCCCGGCCGCGACGCCGCCGCGGCGCCCGGGGGGGGCCCGGCCTCGCCCCCCACAGCTCCCTGGGCAGGTGCACCCCGGGAGTCGGGTACCGGCAGCCCCTCGTGCCCGGGGGGGTCACGGTCGGACTGGTTGAGCAGCCGTTAATGATTCACCACGTTGCCCAAACACACTGAGCGTTCCCGGCCACGAGGGTCCAGGGTGGGGCTGGATCCTGCCCCCTCAGCATCCTGGAGAACCCCCAAGCAGATCCCAGAGGATCCAAGCAGGCCCCTCCGCCACCCCCCGTGTTTCACGGGGGGGCCCTGCTCCCCCAGCCCCCACTTTGGGCCCCGCTGTGCCCATCCCCGGGGCGTCGAGGCTGGGGGCCGCGCTCGACACAGCTGGGACCTTTTTATAGCCCCTTTCTCTATTAAAATAGCTCTGGCCGGGGCGGGGGGAGCGCCGGGAGGGGGGTGCTGCAGGCCCCGCGCCCCTTCCCGTTCATGCACCGAGCTGCCCGTTCTCTGCAGCCGCCCCCGGAGGGGTCTCGGGGCCGGACAAAGCTGCCTTTTACCCACCGCAGCCCCCCCGCGCCGGGGCCCTGAGTCACGTCTGCTGGGCCGGGGGGGGGGCTCGCACCCCTCTGTGCCCCGGGGGTACCGGTTTCGGGGGGCTCAGCCTCCCCCCCGTCCGCCCGCCACAATCGCCGCTTTGTGCGGTGGCGGGGAGGGGGCGCGTCCTTCCCCGCGCACAAAGGGGGCCCTGTGCGCCCACGCGGGGGGGGGACGGAGCCCTTCACCCCGGGGGGACCCACCGCCCCCTGCACTCGGGGGTGTCCGGGGGGCTCCCGAGTCGGGGCGGGTGGGTCGGGCCGGGCCGGGCCGGGGACGAAGTCCGGGCGGGGTGTGCCGGGCGTGGGGGAGCCGTGCCCGCGGCACCCGCCTTGCGCAACCCTTGCCCGGCCGGTTCGGGCACCGCGCAGGGGTGGGGAGGGGAGGGTGGGGGAGCACCCGTCACCCCCCCCCCCGGGCACTGCCACCCCCACGGCAGGGACAGAGCTGGGGCAGGGCTTTGGGAGGAACAGGGGCACTACCGTGGCCAGCATGGGGGGGACACCATGGAGGGGACAGGGACCCCACGGGGGCACCACTATGGCCAGGACACACCATGGAGGGGACAGGGACCCCACGGGGGACGTGGCTGTGGCCATGGAGCGGCCCCAGGGGCGCCGTGGTGGCAGTGGGGACAGGGTGCTGTGCCCGCAGTGTGCGCGGGGACCCTGAACGGGCTGAGCGTGACGGGGGACGCGCAGCACCAGTACCAGACGCTGCACAAGATGTACAACAACTGCGAGATCGTGATGGGCAACCTGGAGATCGTCCTCATCGACCACACGCAGGACCTGTCCTTCCTCCAGGTGAGCTGGGGGGAGTTGGGGGGACACGAGGGGTTATTGCACCCGCCAAGCTGACCCCCCCGTGCCCACAGACCATCCGGGAGGTGACGGGCTACATCCTGATCGCCATGAACGTCTTCGCGTCGCTGCCGCTGCAGAACCTGCGCGTCATCCGCGGCACCCAGTTCTACGAGGAGAAGTTCGCGCTCTTCGTGCTGCTCAACTACAACCCCAACACCACCCACGCCCTGCGCCACCTCGGCCTCAACCAGCTCACAGGTGGGACCCCCCAGGGACCCTGCCTAGAGCGGTGCCAGCCCCCCAAGGTCTCCATCCCAGACTGGTGCCACCCCCCTCTGGGTGCCATGCTGTCCCCACATTGGTCCCCATCCCAGTGTGACAGTGTCCCCATCCTGGTCCCCATCCCAGAGTGTTTCTGTCCCCATGTACAGTTGTGCCACCCCTCTGTGCCCCCAATGGTCCCTGTTATGGGGCAGTGGCACTGCCCCCGTGCCCCCCGTGCTGTCCCCAGTACAGGGTGACAGTGTCCCCCGGAGTGGGGCTGACCCCCATGGGTGCCATTCCCTGTGCCAGCCGTGGTGCTGGGCAGGTCTGGTGGGGTCTGTGCCCCCATCACACCCCAGGCCACGCCCTGTCCCCCCCCAGAGATCCTGTCTGGAGGCGTCTACATCGAGAAGAACGCGCAGCTGTGCCACGTGGACACGGTGGAGTGGAGGGACATCATGCGGGACCCCCGCCAGGAGCCCATCGTGAGGGACAACGGCAAGGCCTGTGCGTGGGGAGGTTCAGGGGGGCTGGGGTGGGGACCCCCCGGCTTTAGGGGTAACCCCGGTGCGCTGTCCCGCAGGCGCCCCATGCCACGAGAGCTGCGGCGGGCACTGCTGGGGGCCCGGCCCCGAGGACTGCCAGAAACGTGGGTATTGGGGGCTGCGGGGGGCTGAGGGGGCTGGGCTGGACCCCCTCCCCTCCTGCTGACCTCCCCCTCCCCGCAGTGACCAAGACCATCTGTGCCCCCCAGTGCAACGGGCGCTGCTTCGGGCGGGCGCCCAACGAGTGCTGCCACGAGGAGTGTGCGGGGGGCTGCACCGGCCCCCTCCGCACCCACTGCTTCGTACGTGCCCCCGTTCCCTAGGGGTGGGGTGGGGTGGGAGCCTTCGCCTGTCTGTGTGATGCCATCCCTGTGTCCGTCCATCCGTGTCCCCCCTCCCTGTGCCCCCATCCATCCCGTGTCCGTCCGTCCGTCCATCCGTGTGTCCGTCCCGCAGGCCTGCCGGCACTTCAACGACAGCGGGGAGTGTGTCCCGCTGTGCCCCCAGCCCCTCATCTACAACAAGCTGACCTTCCAGCTGGAGCCCAACCCCGACACCAAGTACCAGTACGGGGGCGTCTGCGTCCGGGAGTGCCCCCGTGAGTCGGGATTTGGGGGCCCCGGGGGAGCCAGGGGGGACTGCAGGGGCGGGGGGGCCGGGCTGTGACCGCGAGGGTCTCCCCACAGACAACTTCGTGGTGGACCAGAGCTCCTGCGTCCGCGCCTGCCCCAACGACAAGATGGAAGTGGAGAAGAACGGGTTGAAGATGTGCGAGCCCTGTGGGGGGCTGTGCCCCAAGGGTACGGGGCTGGGGGGGCCCGAGGGGGCCGGGGGCTGCGGGACCACCCCTCACCCTCCCTGCATCCCACAGCCTGCGAGGGCACCGGCGCCGGCAGCAAGTACCAGACCGTGGACTCGAGCAACATCGACACCTTCATCAACTGCACCAAGATCCTGGGCAACCTGGACTTCCTCATCACGGGCCTGGAGGGGTGAGGGACAGGGCCTGGGGGGCCAGGGGGTGTGCAGCCCCCCAGCCTGGCTGACAGCTCTGGCACCACAGGGATCCCTGGCGCAACATCTCGGCGCTGGACCCCGAGAAGCTGAACGTGTTCCGGACGGTGCGGGAGATCACGGGTAAGCAGCGGGGCTGGGGGACACTGGGACCACCCCTGGGACACCCTGGGGCCCCCCGGGGCCACTTTGACACCCCCTTTCCCTGCCCCAGGGTACCTGAACATCCAGTCCTGGCCCAAGCACATGCAGAACTTCAGCGTCTTCTCCAACCTGGAGACCATCGGCGGACGGAGCCTCTACAAGTGAGGACCCCCTTCCCTGCATGTCCTGCATCCCCCCTCAGCCCTAAACCCTGCATCCCCCTCTGGGAAG